AATATATTTTATTAATTATGCCATTACAGTTGTTCTATTTCTGCCCTTTATTCCCCTCCACCCTGTACACCCCCTCCCTCACCATTCCCCCCTTTAGCTTATGACCACATATCTCAAGTTCTTTAGATTCTGTATTTCCCCTACTATTCTTGCCCTCCCCCTATTTTCTACCTACCATCTATGCTACCTATTCTCCGTACCTTCTTCCCCCTTCTCCTTCTCCCACTCCCCTGTTGCTAACCCTCCATGTGATCTTCATTTCTATGGTTCTGCTCCTGATTTAGCTGTCCTCTCAGTTTGCTTTTATTTTAGGTGTGGTTGTTAATAACTGTGAGTTTGCTGTCCTTTCACTGTTCATCTTTTTTATCTTCTTTTTCTTAGGTAAGTCCCTTTAACATTTCATATAATAAGGGCTTGGTGATGATGAACTTCTTGAATTTGGTCTTATCTGAGAAGCACTTTATCTGCCCTTCCATTCTAAATGAAAGCTTTGCTGGATAGATCAATCGTGGATGGAGGTCTTTAGATTTCATGACTTGGAATACTTCTTTCCAGCCTCTTCTTGCCTGTAAGGTCTCTTTTGAGAAATCAGCTGACAGTCTGATGGGAACTCCTTTGTAGGTGACTGTCCCCTTATGTCTTGCTGCTTCTAGAATTCTCTCCTTCATTTTAATCTTGGCTAATGTAATGATGATGTGTCTTGGTGTGTTCCTTCTTGGGTCCAACCTCTTTGGGACGCTCTGAGCTTCCTGGATTTCCTGGAAGTCTATTTCCTTTGCCAGATTGGGGAAGTTCTCCTTTATTATTTGTTCAAATAAGTTTTCCGCTTGTGGCTGTTCCTCTTCCCCTTCTGGTACCCCTATAATTTGGATGTTGGAATGTTTAAAGATGTCCTGAAGGTTCCTAAGCGTCTCCTCATTTTTTTTGAATTCTTGTTTCTTCATCCTTTTCTGTTTGGTCATTTTTTTCCCTCCTTCTGGTCCACTCCTTTGATTTGAGTCCCAGTTTCCTTTCCATTACTATTGGTTTCCTGTGTATTTCCATTCATTTCAATTAGTTTAGCTTTCATATGTTCCTCTAATTTGTGACTAAAATCAACCAGTTCTGTGAGCATCCTGATTACCAGTGTTTTGAACTGTGCATCTGAAAGTTTGGCTATTTCTTCATCGCTTAGATTTATTGGCTCTGGGGCTCTGAGTTGTTCTTGAGCCATGTTTTAATCTGTTTATGCCTGTTATGTATGAGGAGCGGAGCCTTAGTTGTTCACCAGGGCAGGGCCACCCAGGTCACTGATTTGTGACACTGTATGTGGGGGCGTGGTCAGAGAGAGGCCACCCAGGTTGCTGGTTTGTGATGCTGTATGTGGGGGCGGGGTCAGAGAGGGACAATGGCGGTTTCCTCTGCCGCTTCCTGCAGCTGGGGCCTGTGCGGTCCGTCTCACTGCTAGCTCCTTCACTGGTTTATCTGCACGCGAACGTGTGACTGCGATCAGCCCTCAGTGGGTCCACCACCTTGCACCCTCAGTGGGTTCAACGCCTTGCACCCTCAGTGGGTCCGCCCGCTTCTCCACACCTGGGACCCGCCCTTGGCTGCTGGCGCACCTGGGTCTTGTGCCTAGGTCAGTCTGGTGAATCTTTCCAGTCTCACCCTGCTCTGCTGCTGGCTCTGCCCCTCTTACCAGTTTGGCTGAAGGGTTCGTTGTTGTCAGACTTCCGTGTAGTTCAATTTTCTATGGTTTGGCTGCGTTTTTGTTGCTAAAACTTTGTTGTTTTTAAACTTGGTTGTGCAAGAAGGCGCAGTGCTTCCATCTATGCCTCCGTCTTGACGGAAGTCCTTCCTGTTTTCCAGAATTTTTTTAAAATGATCAGGGGTCTTTTTTATTGTGAGAGATCCAGATACCTGGCAACACCCTAAATTTAATTAAAGATGGCACTTATATTATCTTTTAAATTTAAACGTGGAATTTGAACATCATTGATTCCAAGTAAGAATGACCAGCTGTTCCCAAATCTTTTCACTACTTGACTTTCCTTGGGCCTGTGGTTCCAAAGCTTGACCAGAATCACGTGGAGGCTTGTTAAAAACACAGGCAACCCAGCATCATCCCCAGAGTTTCCAATTTGGAAGTTGGAGGTGAGGCCTAAGGATTTGCCTCTTTCAACTAGCTCCCAGGTGATGCTTATCTTTCTGGTCCTGGGACCCCACTGGGAATCACTGAGTGTGTGAAAGTTAGCGTTTCCTTTGGTGTGGGGAGGACATTTGGAAGCAGACGAGAACACAGAGGGAGAAGAGTAAGAGGGCAGTTAAACAGGGAGGAAAGGATGTGCCCACTCGTGCCTATCCTGTTGCACCTAGCTTGTGGGCACTCTGCTGTCTTCTCCGTGGCAAAATCTGCTTGGGGAAGCAGCTCGTGGCGTTAGAATTGTAGTCATATTCCAGGAAAAAAGGAATGAAGTAGCACTACATGAAAAATCTTAAACTTAAGCCCTGCCATTGTATTTTTCAATGAAATTTTAAAGTGGGTGGGGGGTGTATGCAGGGTGGAGAAGCCAGTCCTTATGTAATGTTATGACAAGCGCTAGTCGAGTATTGCTAACGCAGCAGCATCTCGACAAGTCAGTTAAGGAGGCACTTGCCCACAGATTCCATTATCTCCGGGGGCCCTCCTTTCCCCTTGTTGCAAGTCGGAGAAGGCAGGACACTGACTGACTAAGTTACACAGGCAGAGAGAGGGTCAGACCAAGTGTCTGGTTTGTACCACAGGTAGGAGCCCAGACTTCTGACCCTTCCTCCGGGTTATTTTCATGTAGCCATTTGGAGATTCTGCTATAATTATCTCACATTTAACCATTTTGTTGCTGCTGTTTTTCTCAGAATGTTTTTCTGTGGTATGGTCGCAAATATTTAGAAATAAAATCATGGCTGTAAAAGATAAAGGTGGTTGGAAGGAATCCAAGAGAGAAGTGAGAACTCAAAACCCTTGTCTCATCTAAGGCTGCCTTTCAGGCACTTTACTACTTAAAATGCAATGCACCTGGGTACTTCCTTTTATCACTTAAGAAAGCAAGGAGCTGGGAAGAGGGGGAGCAGTCTGGGTAGACAGATGACGTGAGAAAGCAAGTCGTAGAAGGTTAGTTTTACTTCTAACCTGTCACTTCATTTTTTAGGTCTGTTGTATTTCTGTTTGGTTTTGTTTTTAATCTATAAAATGATGCTTTAGCTTTAGATAATTCTCAAAGGGGTTTGATACTTGTTATTGTTTTTGCAAGATCACCTCTTACCTCTTTTGGGCAGCCAGGGTAAGAAACCAAGCCAAGAATCCTCTCGACTTCTAAGATAGACCTTAGGGTGCATAGAAGACATAGACATACAAGATTCCATCTTCCCTGAACCACATGATCCCAGAGGCCCCATGTACGTTATTTCCTGGCAGCAGTTTTCAATGGCTTTAGAGCAAAAGGAAGTTCATCGCTATGACAGTCAGGCAGCCACACTGGGGAAAAGATGATGTATCTTCTTGTAGAGGAAAAAGTCAGTATTATCCAATCCAGTAATCAGATTTTCAGACAAAGGCACGACCCTGGAATGTCCCTGTCTATGGCTGAGCATAGCATTAGTCTTGTTGCCAAAAGGTTTTTTAAAAATCAGTGTGTACTGGCTTGTCTGTCTCTTTTGTATATAAAAGTATATTTCACCTGATAATTTCTCTCATTCTTATTTTGAAGGCAACTAAATTGCTCTGGAGATATTAGTCATAGTGGTAATTAATTTAGCCTTTACTGAGCACCTTCTGTGTGCCAGGCTCCATGTGAAGTGAAGAAGTATAGAGAAAGACTCGGATAGGTGACTATGTCTAGTGGGGGGAGGGGAGAGAAAGGCAATAAAAAAGCCAGTATTCCTTTATCCATCCCTCCTTTTATTGTTCAGGGGTTTGTTGAGCATTTTCTATGTGCCCAACTCTGTACTGAGTGCTAGGGATACAAAAGTGATTAAGACTGACACGCCCCTGCAGTTCTTCAAGACCATGCTTCCATCAAGCTTGGTTAAGCCTACAGCAGAGAAGGTCAGAAGAACCTGTGATGGGGTGAATGCATAGGTGAGATCAGGATCCAGTGAAGGGCTTCCTGGAGGAGGTGACCTGGGAACTAAAACAAAGTAGAAACAGATGCTAACCAGGCAAGACAAAGGCAGAGGAAGAATTAAGCAATGGCTGGACAGAGGTAGTGCTGGGTTGGGGATGGAACATAGGCCTAAGGAAGAACAGTAGGAAATAAGACTATTTATATTTGGAAGACATTTTATGCCTTGCTTAGGAGTTTGAACTTCAACCTAAGGTGATTGAGAAACCACTGAAATATCTCATAATGGAGGCGTTATTACAAGAATCTCCAGCCACTTAAAAGAGCATTACTGTGCTATAACTGCAGAGGTTTTCATGTAAACAACAGTAGCACAGCCAACTGTGTGCTCTTGATGATTGCTGATACATAAAATATAATTACGATGATAGCCAAGTATGGGAGTATATCTGCAAGTAGACTCTATTATTTGCATTGTGAGATTGTTTAAGAATTTCTTTGTAATACTTATTCCGTGCTGAGTCCGCTACATACTATAGATGAGGCTATAGGCTCTTCCCTCTACAATCAAAGATGGAGAGATCTGATAGCATCCATGCATTTTTAAAAAGTATGTGGTTATCAATGTCCAGAATAGGCAAATTCACTGAGACAGCAAGTAGATTGGTGGCTGCCAGTGTCTGGGGGAGGAGCGGTGGAGGGAATCAAAAGGGACAGCAAACAAGTCTAGGATTTGTTTTTGGAGCAATGGCAGTATTCTGGAACTGGTGGTAATGGCTATACAACATTGTGAACATAGTAAAAAACACTGAATTTTACACTGTGGTTAAAATGGTTAACTTCATGTTATGTGAATTTTTCTCTCAATAAAAAATACAGGAAGAAAAAGATGTTGATTGATTTTTTTTTTTTTTTTTGTAGTAAAGGGCAACCGGAAGTGTGAGTTGAACTGCCAGGCAATGGGCTACCGCTTCTACGTGCGGCAGGCAGAGAAGGTCATTGACGGCACCCCCTGTGACCAGAACGGCACGGCCATCTGTGTGTCTGGGCAGTGCAAGGTAAGTGGCCCAGGACGGCGATCTCAGGGCGGATGCTCAGGCTATTTGAGCTCTCACTGCCGGACGGTGGTCGGCTGCCTCCCGCAGCCCCGGGCCCCTGAGCGTGAGCTCTGGGAGGAGCGGGACAAGACAGGACGGCTTGGTCCACCCTGTGTTTTTTATCTTTGGGAGCCACCACATCTCACTCTGGCATTTCAGTTATTACGTGACTTGTGTTTACTCTACATGCTTCAAAAGGGACTCAGTGCTCTTTGCTCATTGTGTCTAGGGTGCCTTCCTCACCTCTGAAGTGGAGGTCATGGAGCGGCCACTCCCGGCTCAGGCCAGAAACAGTTGGTGGCGTGAAGGTCGCCTTTGGAGGGCCGGGCGTATTTCATCCTGCCTCCCACCGCAGGGGCGGGCTTCCGAGGGAAAGTCGTCTCTGGCCCTTTACAATGGATGCTGTGCTTTAAACAGGAAGTGTTTTCGGCCTCTTTAGACCTCTGATGTCTGTTCCAGTAAACCCCTGCCCGACATCCCGCACACATTCTGGGCTTGAGAGAACCCTTGCAGGATGTTCACCTTCGACAGGAAGCACATTCGGATAAAAACAGGCGTCTTAGACGAGATGGCACAAATGCCAGTCTCATTAATTCGGGCCTGGACCACCACCCGCCTTTCATCTGTAAATGTGGTCGGTGGCACTAAGCAGGTAAATGACTCCTTGGAGCTCAGACTGAGATTCTGCCTTAATTAAACCTCAACAGCTGCAGGACCGATTTTCCTCAAAGGAGGAGGCTTCGGCCATCACATCTGAGGGCTCCTGTCAGACCCGGAATGTAAACTGCCAGTGTTTAGTATTAGAGTATTAGAGCTCTTCAGGAGTGATTTCTAAGCACAACCCTCCCCCCTTAGCCATTGCCTAGGAGAGTCTCAGATTCTGAATACGGTTAAGAAAGGGAGACGCTGTCATTTGATACCTGATGTGTGTGAGGTGTCTTTGGAAGAGCAAAACCCCCAAAGAAATTATGAGGCGGCACAGAAGAGGCAGGGAGCATGGTGGGAAGTACAGTGGGGCCTAGACCTTCCTGGCCTCCAATTCTCCCCTCCTTTGGAAAAACCGTTGTATTTCACACAATCCCTCTGAGCCTCGCCTTCCTCTGATAAAAGCTGAGGGGATCCCATTAGAGTTTTGTGGTGTCCAACTCAACTGATTTTTGCCTCTGTTACTGAACCTAAAATAATGGTCCTGCAGCAACCTGGCTTTTTCTTTCCGATCCCGAGTGAACTGTTTTGTTTTCCGATGCAGGTACACCTGCTGGGAGGGAGTACAGTGTAATGATTAAAAATATGCTCTCTGAAGTCAGACTGCTTGGGTTCAAGTCCTGCTTCTCCCACTGATTTACTGTGTGGTCTTATCCAAGACCCCAGTGAGCAGATTAATAGGTATTTGACGTTACAAGGATGACTTTGCAATTCCATCACATTTGTTCTCTGTGCTTTTGCCTGAAATTCACTCAGTGAAGTTGTTAGAACCCGGACTCCCTTATCCTCTTTGGGACTTCGGTTTCAGTGATCTGAAGTACATTTGCTTCCCAGGGTGAGGTTCTGTTTACTTTGCATCTTTCGAAGGGTAAACTGTCCTTTTCTGACATTTGATGGGAAGCCCAGAATTCCATTGGATGTCTCTGCTTGGCTGCCCGTGGCTGAGCGAGCTGTCTCTGGTGGACACGGGTGTCTGCCTCTGCTGGCTGCATGTAGTTGAAAAGCGAACCCGGGCCTTTAATGAAAGGCAGTCAGCTCTCTGGGTCTCTGCCCATCGTCTACAACCCGAGGAGGACGGCACAGCACCTGCCTCCCTCCTCACAGTGAAGAGCCGTCGCTAACACGTGTGCAGTGCCGGTAGCAGGTCTGCACTCAGTGAGCATGCCGCTGTGCGTCAGTGCGATTGCGCCCACATACGTCCCGTCGTATTTGAGTTTTTACATGCAAAAGTATTTGCCTTTTTTGGTGGATTATAGATTTGTGAGATGGACTCCGCCTTTTGGGGCAGGTTCTCTCACCGTAATGGGACCCACGGGGCACAGCAGATTCTAGTCGGGTGTGTCTGGGAAAGGGCTGGAGTGTCTGGTTTTCTAATAAGCTCCTGTGGGATATGGATGCTGTTCGTCTATGGGTTGTACTTTGTGTAGCAAAGTTTTAAAAGACACTTTGATCAAAACATACTTAACAACAAACCAGAAAGGTAAATGCAGAGTGGTGAAATGCCTTGGAAGATGAGACGTGGTCTCTTTCCACTGGTCAAGCGTGTTTTCTTAGTGTTGCATGATGTGTCTCTGAACTGATGATATGAAAGAAAAACACACTCATAAGGACGTGGCTATGGATCTGAGTAATAGATGAAACCTTTCAGACTGTAGGACAGAACAGTTTGAAGATAGTAATTGCTGAAAGACTGAGACAAACAGCCCCGGGATGTGAGTAGATTAATAGGTATTTGACGTTACAAGGATGACTTTGCAATTCCATCACATTTGTTCTCTGTGCTTTTGCCTGAAATTCACTCAGTGAAGTTGTTAGAACCCGGACTCCCTTATCCTCTTTGGGACTTCGGTTTCAGTGATCTGAAGTACATTTGCTTCCCAGGGTGAGGTTCTGTTTACTTTGCATCTTTCGAAGGGTAAACTGTCCTTTTCTGAACATTTGATGGGAAGCCCAGAATTCCATTGGATGTCTCTGCTTGGCTGCTCGTGGCTGAGCGAGCTGTCTCTGGTGGACACGGGTGTCTGCCTCTGCTGGCTGCATGTAGTTGAAAAGCGAACCTGGGCCTGCAACCAAACTTAATGAAAGGCAATGAGCATTAAATAGGAGTAAGCGTCAAACCCACAAAGGAGTAGCTAGGGGAGAAGGGTGTCTGCCCGACACCTAGCCAAAGAAATGCCCAGGCCCACACAGTGCAAGCTGGAGTGCTCTGTTCCCATACCCACGGGGCACTCCAGGCGTGTTCACCTGCCTGCTGGCTCCTGTTTCAGAGCCAGTCAGTAGTTGGAAGAGCGTAGGAAGAATGCAGGTGCCCTTGGACAGCAGGCTGGAGAAAATGGAGATCCCCCCTACCCCCTAGTACTAGGTGATACTTCTTTTCTTGACAGGGACTGAATGTTGGCTTCAGACTAAGAATCTCATGTAGCTAAGCTTTTAAGGCAAAGCACTGTGGCACTGTCTTCTCCTGAAGACCGTGTCCACAACTCACAGGCGTCCTGCCTCCCTCACCCAGATCCCTTCCCTCTAAACATCAAACAGGGCCATCCGGCCAGTCCTTGGAGCACTCTCCGAGACACTTCCAGCCCTGACTGGTCATTATCATCATTTGTGGGAATGAAACAGCATTTTCTAATTAACCAAGATCACAGCAATAATTTCTATCAGCAAGCATCACATTAACTATGCTGTGATTTTTTAAATTTGATCTCAGCTTTAACTAGGTCTGAACATTTTTGAATTTTTATACTTTAATGAGTATGCATTATTTTTTAGCACAATTTAATAAAATTGATGACACTTTGCCTTCAAAGATTTAGCAGGCATTTAAAAGAACAGGGTCACTTGGGTAAAGACCACCAAAAACAACATTCACTGCCTAGAGTCCAGACTATCAGAAACCTCAGGATCTCAGACCTAAATGATACTGAAATAGTCAGAATCACTCTAAGATCCACCCAAAAAAGGTTTTGGTGGTAAAGATACAGTCCTTGTGGAGGTTTTTACAATATAGAGGCTGATGGCAAAACGGCAGAGGAAAAAGGTACTGGAGCTGGTTCATGCCGGGTAGCAAGGAACCGCTTCTGAGAGTTTGCCACGTGCCAGACACTGGTGCCTTCCTAGGAAATGGTGTCATGAGTTCATTCCCCTTCTCAATGACTCAATCAGTAGGAATCATTAGTCTCTGTTTTACCAAGGACTATTGAAAAGATTAAATGACTTGGACACACTCAGTGCTGCATAGGGGCTAACGATTAATATTGACTTTTTAAAGTAGAAAGAGTAGTTTATATATGATGGGGGGGAAATCTATGGGCTTTAGGTCTCCCCTATTCTGAGTTTATTTTTCTCACTGCCTCCTTCCGATACAAACTGTTTTTCCAAAGCACACATCAGGACATGCCTCTTCTTTGCTTAAATTCCATCTGTGGCGCCCCACTGCCTATGGAATAAAGGCCAGGCCCTTCACCGTTTGTCTGCTGCCAGGCCTCCCCGGCCCCCGAAGCTGGCCAGGCTGGGACGTGTTTCTGCCCCACGCAGCAGGCCTGCAGGGTTCTGCCTCCAGGAGAGTGTGCACGCTGTCCGGTCAGCCCACTCTGGGTCTTCCCCTGGACTCTGCTCAGAAGCCACTGGCTGACCCCCTTGTGTACCGTTCTATTTGACTGTTCCCTCTTCTTGTAACTATTTGTTCCCATCGCCCTCGCCTGCCACCCAGCCACCCTGGGAGCAGTTCCAGGCACTTGGCTTTAGCAAAATGCCTACCCTTTGAATAGGTGCTTAAAATAAATGAGCAAATGAATTAAGGCACTTAGTGACTCAGTCTGTTGGATTCCAGCAAATGAAATTAGTCCTGAGTGCAGCACAGAGTCTCTCATTTTTGTCTGGGATGGGCAGTTGATTGCAGATAAAACGAGGACATGAAGTCCCCTTGGCCCAGTCCCCAGAGCCCAAGGCCTTGGGGGTGGGGGAGAGGTCTTGGCACACAAGCCCCTGTCTCCCTTGTCTTGTTTGTAATTTTGCTCATTCTGAGTTTCCTGAGTCCCTTCAGAGCTAGTGACAGGAAGAACCTAAGCAAGTGTGAGTGTGTGCTCCCCAGAGTGCCTTCTGTTGAGGGGACAGAGCCCCCTTCTGCCCCCCACGCTCCTCCCTTGTCCCTGGTCAGCCAGCTGTCTCCACGCAGGGCGCTTCCTACGGCCCCTCCACACACACTGGATGGCTTTCCCACTTCCTCCCCAACCTGGGACACCGCTGGGCTTCCATCC